GCCTGGAGCACATTGAGGTAGATGCCTGGCAGGCCAGGAGATGTCCAGGAAGATGAGATAGTCACTTTTGGTTGATGGGAATAAAATCAGAGAGTGCAGGATGGAGATGATATGCTAAATAGCCCGCAATGCCATTAAGGACAGGACTATATCTGTGGCCATCAGTGCACCCCTGCTTATGCCCCAGCTGAGGCTGTGGGTACAGGGGTTAGGTGGGAATGGAGGGGACTGAAATCCTAAGCTAAGGAGCCTTAGCCCTTGTCTCCACTGAGTAACAGGGAGGGATATGAGAAATATGCCCTAGCCCTGGCCTGGGTAGCTTCTGAGCACTGACTGTTAAAGTCTCAGGAGTTTTATGAGTCAATTGTTAAACACAGTTATTATTAAAAAATTGAGCAATCGAAACTTATAATTGAATAAAAAGATTTAAAAATGAAGGTAGTAAGTATTCAAAACATATCACTTTCTAATCATCTGACTGCTAATCTCTGCTCCTGAGGGAGGGTACTTTGTGTATCAGTAACCCCTGTTGGTATTTGAAACAGGCCATGTGGGAGCATTTACCCACGTCCATGCACACTTTCTGCCTCTTTCTGCTCAGAGTAGCACTTCCTCTCATTCTTGGTTCTCTCCCTGGGTTAGTGTGGACCATGACTTTAGCATGACTCAGACCCTTTTGAGGAGAAGCAAAAACTCTTGATCCAAAAGCTCCTTTCTTGGGACTCCGATGTTTCCAGGGGTGGAGGCAAAAGAAATTGTTATGGCTTAAAGGGCTTTCATTATGCCATCTGCTAGGCTGCTGATTCTATGTGGGATTAAGCATAAGTAAAAGTGTTGACACTGCCAACAGAACTAAGTAAGCTTTATTAGTTAATACCAGCTGTAGAAGTTAAAAGAAAGAACAAGTTTCCAATGACTACAACTATACTAATGGTTGTGTGTGTTAACAAAAGTCCAGTTCCAAATGGAATTTTCCACCTAAGGATGATAAATTCTTACTTCAGTTCACTAGTGACCCTTGGCTAAAGGGGTGTCTTCTGCGGGAGACTTCCTGTGGGCTGCTGCCATAGACCAGGGAGGGCACTCTCTTCTTTTTTTTTTTTTTTTTTTGTTGCTGTTGTTGTTACTGGGGATCTAATCTATGGGCACTTTATCACCCCCCAGCCCTTTTCAATTTTTTTTTTAATTTTATTTTTGTTATTTTTTGGTACTTGAGATTGAACCAGGGGCACTTAACCATTGAACCACATCCCCAGCCCTTTTTGTATTTTATTTAGAGACAGGGTCCCACTGAGTTGCTCAGGTTATACTAAGTTGCTGAGGCTGGCTTTGAACTCGAAATCCTCCTGCCTCAGCTTCCTGAGCTGCTGGGATTACAGGCGTGTACCACTGTGCAGGCTCCTTTTTATTTTTTTATTTCCAGACAGATCTCACTGAGTTGCTGAGGGTCTTGCTATGTGACTGAGGCTGGCATCATACTTGTGATCTTCCTGTGTCAGCCTCCCAAATCTCTGGGATTACAGGTGTGTGACACTGCACCCAGTTCCCCTGTGTCTTTTCCCCAAACCCTGGCTACACCTCTGACACCACCATAAATGGAGTTTGCCATTTTGATTTCCGTTTTTAAATGCCTTCATAAATCAGATGGTACATCGATGAAGTGCCACTCAGGAAGGCTGAAATACACCCATATGCCTTTAGTTTGTTATTAGAGAAATAAGACAAGTGATTAAATAACCTTCAAATGATTTAACTAGGTATTTCTCACAAATACTAAAGAACAAATTCCTTTCATTCTGTTGAGGGATGTCAGCATTAAGGAAGTGTGGGGTCTCTAGCAAGAATTGTTACAGATGCCAGTTCTGAATAAGCTGACAGTCTAGATTTTACATGTTGAGGGTATTGAGCAAAGCTTTCCCATCATAAGAGACTAATTCCTTGTTTGAAATCTCACTTAGAGTGGCTTAGATGCATTTATCTAGATGTTTTAAAGTACTCACATATTTGTCTTCCCTTTTCCCCAATCTCCTGTCATTTTGGCTGAGAGTTTTAACTCACCAACTAGATGAATAACAGAAGCCACTCTTACAACCTAAGAAACCAAAGGTGAAGTTATACGTTTGGATTTCTTCATAATGTTAATCTCATTCTTCTTTGTTAAAATGATTTTTCTATATTTTGAAGTGTAATCATTCTAAATGTAACAAAATCCCTTTTTCTAATACTTGGAATTGAACCCAGGGCTGCTCTACCACTGAGATACGTTCCCAGCCCTTTCTATTTTATTTGGAGACAACATCTCACCAAGTTGCCAATATTAGCCTTGAACTTGTGATCTTCCTTGCCTCAGTCACTGGAGTAGATGGGATTACAGTTGTGCACCACCGCATCCAGCAACAACCTGATACAACCCAGGATGGGTCATTGGAAGCTGGGCAGCTCCTCTTTTCTGATGCAGGAACACAAGCTCCATTCATCTGGGGCTCTTTCGTTTTCTGGGGTTTGGTGTCTTCCTCTTTTTCCTCGGTGTCTGGCTACAGGCAAGAGTAGAAAGGTGCAGGGGTGTTATGGCTAGGCTTCTTGGGGACTTTCTTCATTTTCACCCATATTCTATTGTTTGTACTTGGTCTGTGACCAGAGCTCAACTATAAGGCTTGGACATGTAGCATTTGTGCCCAAGAAGAAAAGAGAATGGGGTTGGTAAACATGTGGCCTTGCCTTGGTCACATCAGAATGCCCAATGACACAGCTGCATGTTGGAGTGTGATGATTTTTCAAGTCCCTTGAGGGTCTTGATCCATAGAGAAGATGTAGAGTACAGTGGCTCAGTGCATGACCTTGACCAGACTGCTAGTATTTAAATCCCAGCTCTACCACTTACCAGATTGTGACCTTGGGTGAGCAACTTAATATCTCTCTAGACCCAAGTTTCCTTATCTATAAAATGGGTTTAACAATAGAGCAAAGAGTTCTTGTTGATTTACTGTGCCTATGTATTCAGAAGAGTTCCTGGAAGATAATTAATGTTAGTTGGTTAAATTTTTTAAAAAAGAGACTAGTGACAAAGAGACCTAATTTCCTCGTGTGTGTGTTGTACTTTGGATATGTTGCCATTCGGATAGAACTGGTCTCTTTGAGTTCAACTGCAAAAATGTTTATTTGACAACTATTATTTGCAGTGTGCCAGGTGTGACCATAGAATCTAAATAAGTAGGCCTCTCACGGAGTCAAAGGAAACAGCATGTATTCCACACCAAATCTGCCTTTTAAACTTGGTGACTCTTAATCCATGGTTACACCAGCATCATGATCTTGGTCCCCACTGAGCAAATCCACGGCTTCCTCTGTACCCTCTGAATGGAGAGTGGCAGAGGCCTAGTGCCCAGAGGGCTATTTCTCCTGCCCTGTCTGTCTTTTGGGCCTGTCAATGCCAGTCCTTTAACAGACGCCTTGTCTGTCCACTTGGTACCTGGATTGTTCCTGATCTATTTGCACTAGTGTGTTACCTCTTCTAGTTAGGCTGCAGAGTTCATCACGATGCTTGCTTTTATTTTTCATTTATTTTTTCTCTTTAAATGCAATTTTAATCCTTATTTTAAGCTAAGGGCAATAATTCAATGCAATAAGCTAAATTCACACAAAACCAGTATACTCTGTGAACTGCAAAAGTGGTTTTTGTAGCTACCTATGGTTTTAGTCAACTACACATTTCCACAAGTACTTACAAATATGTTAAAAAAAACACTACCCCAATTAGCTCATTAAACATTTCCATTCCTGCTACTGAAAGTAGATGATCAGGAAAATGAGTTCTAAAACTTAAAAAAGTAACCTAAGTAGGTTTTAAATTTTAAAATAAAAAAAAATCTTTCAACATGGAAGCATCAACATGAAGCTTTAAGTTTCTAAAAAAATAAAAATAAAAAATCACTCTTTAGAAAATATTAAAACAAATTATCATTTAAGACACATAAACATTCTTACAAAACTTGTAGTTTCAATATCATGTCCTTAAAAGAAAAACCAGTTCACTATCTTTAATAATATCTCAGACCACTGTTGTCTAAAAACTTCAGAATATGTAAGGCATATGTCTCAGCTGTCATAGTCAAAATGACATTTAGATTTCACCTAAACAGCTATAGTATAGCTTATAATGGCACAAGTATACCTAACACATAAATACTCCTTCATCCTTTAGATAGTCAAAAGTCAGAAGGAACTGCATAATTTGTAAGGTACTTTAACTTACATGTAGTCATTAAAACTCAGTAATTCAAGTATAGTCATGTAAAGCCAGGCAATTAAAGGCTCAAGGATCACTCTAAAATTAATGACATGAAAATAAGGGCTGAAACTTTGTTTTTCCATCTTTCATTTACATGCCTAGATATTAATACATTATTGTACAAAATACACAATTATTATATATGATTTCCATAGAAGATAATGAAATTTCATGAAGTACAAAAATTATCAAGATCCGTAGTTTGCTTCATCAAATGCCTTTCTAGCTCGTTTCAATTCTTCATTCATGGTAGGCAAGTCTTTAACCCTAGCAAAATTCCTTGGCTCCTTTCGAATCAAGAAGACGGTATCTTTAACTTGTACTCCACCTTGTCTTCCAACTGACATTGACTTGTGAGTCATTTCAGGGATGAACTCTATGACAAGGTCTTCAAGAATATCCACTGACTCAGTGTAAGGATTCTGGTCATCCCCAAACCCATACATCATACGTTGTAATTCTTTAGAAAAAAGTCTCTTTCTTTTACCCTGTCCACCTTCTGCACCTCCTCCAATTTCTTCATTTTTCTCCTCAAAGGTCGGGTCTTCTTCCTCATCTGCCATCCCACTAGCCGGCCAGCCCACAGCGCCTCGCTGGCTAGCTGCTGGCTGGTTTTACCCATGATGCTTGCTTTTGAAGGTTAGTGTGACTTCTGCATAGGATGCCCCCACCCCAACAGCAGACTGGGCTTAACATGCTCTTTCTCTCATAGCTGGACGACTGTACTCTGCAGCTGTCCCACAATGGAACCTACCTGGATCTGGAGGCCACACTGGCAGAGCAGCGGGATGAGTTGGAAGGCTTCCAGGATGACGCTGGGTAAGAGCAACTGTTGTTGCTGCCGACTGTTCCCCACTTACCAGAATATGTGGTGCGTTGGTGGCTTAAAATACTTTGGAGAAATCACAGTAACTTTGACCTCTTCAAAAGGGTCCTGCAGGTGACTCAGTGGTGACAGCAGACCCTTTTCCATTTTGAGGATCTTTTCCTGATAAAGCAACTCAGGGATAGCCCACCCTAGGAAAATTTCTGGTATTTTAATCAAACACATGGTACTTACCTTCTAAGTTATTTTTCTATTTAAATATCACGATTAAATGAATATCTTATGCCTGTAATTCCAGTAGCTTTGGAGGCTGAGCCAAAACTTGATCACAAGTTCAAAGCTAGCCTCAGTAACTTAGCTAGGCTGTAAGCAACTTAGTGAGACCATGTCTCAAAATAAAAAATATAAAGAGCTTGGGATGTGGCTCAGTGGTTAAGTGCCCTTGGGTTCAATCCCCAGGACTAAGAAACAACAACAACAACAACAAAAAACCCCATCAATATCTTTCAGATTTTAGTGGATTGTTAACTGTTTTAAACATTGTTTACAATCATCTGTTGGATATTTCATTTTCTTGGCAGATGCCCTCATAGATGATTTTATATGCTGTTATCATATTTCAACTCATTACAGTGGAGAAAATAATTATTAATTATGTTCATGAACGTCAAGTTACATTTGCTTAATACTGAGTGAAGCAATACTGACATAACAAACCAGAGGTTTGTACAGAAAGTGAAATCTCTGTTGGATGTGCACACGGAGTCAGCCTTTTGGTTACTGAAGTCACCTTTTGATGGGGCCCCTGCCTCCCTTTCCACATCCCCATCCATCTTCAACCAAGTATATCTCTGATTTTATCACTTTCCTTAGAGACCTTCAGAGGCTCCTTAAATAATGCTCAGCTGTCTTAATCTGGTATTCAGAGACCCCCCAAAGTCATTTGAAGCTACCTTACCCAATTTTAAAATACAGTCAGGTAACAACTGTCTGAGAGTATTGATTTTTCATAAATAGCTCAGAGAGTGGGGAAAATAGCTCAAAGAATTGGAACCTTCTTAGTGTTAATTTTATGTAGCTCTCTGACTCAGGAGTGAGCTGGTGGCCTCATGGGTTTCCCATTTTAATACTCTTCACAACCGTGGTCATTCTTCTTCTAATTGTTCCTCTCTCCCACTGAAACTCCATGATGTCACAACTGTTCCTTCTGAATCTCTAGCATCTAGCACATTACAGGCATTTAGTGGATATTTGTGGTCAGGTGAATGGAACAATCTTTGAATTCATTCCTGAGTGGCATGGCCACTGAGCACCAAGGAGACCAAGAGCCTTGACAGGATCTAGCAAGGGTCCTGAGAACACCCTTCATGCTCCCTGTGTGAGGGCCCTCACTTTATTGGATGCTGGGAACCACCATAGGCCCATCCACCACACTCTGGAAAGACGGGTGCCCCTTAAAGAACCTTTCTGGCCTCCCTAGTCACACCAGAGTCTACTCTCCATCATTTTAAAAATTAACATTATAGACTGATAGATGCAGGGAAATTCCATTATGCTATTTTTTTAACAAGGATCTGGCAATGACATTCGTTTATGTAAGATGTCAGGGTGCAGGCGCTGGATGACAGTCTAATTGGATGACTTCATGGCTCATTGATCAAACAGACCCCAGGAGTGTTATGAGTAGATCATTGTCAACTTGAAAAATGTTTCAAGTGGTGTTATGCTTGAAGATCTTATCCTGTTTGATTTTGTTTCTTTTTCTTACCAAAACTTGGATAATTTAGAGATGGCAGCTCAGGGGGGGGGGAAGTGTTGATGTATCAGATGACAGTATAAGAATAAAGGGTGAAGAAGGAACTAACATTTATGGAGCATGCCAAAGTCACATTTATGCCAAGCACTATTCTAGACAGCTATTTACACTGTCTTTGTTTAATAGTTCATTTTCATAAGAGTCATGTAATTGTATTTGTATCTATTTTTTCCCTCTCAGACACCTGAAGGTCAGGAGTTTAATTACATGTCCAGAGTGGTAGAGCCAGGAGGTGGTGAGCCATATCTGAACACAGGTGTGCCCAATTCTCAGGTCTATAGTCCTCTGCTACCCCAGGGGCTTCTGGGCACCAGCCCTTCAGGGTCTACTCAGCATGTGCATTGCACCTTTGGCGATGGGTGTCTGGTTTACACAAGGACATCCGTTCTGATCTTCAGTACTGCTTCCAGTGAGAACAACATGCAGCCATACTGCAGAGCAGCTCCCAGGAAGACACCTTTGCCACCATCCTCCGTCACTGACACTGCAGCTCCAACTGGTGACACCAGCATCCAATTGTTGGGTGTTCTTCCACAGCTGCTCCCAAAGAGCGAAGGGATCCTGGGGCGAGCTCGCCAGGGATCATGGTGCCTGCTTTCTCATTTTTGTTCCCTTCTGAATCCTCACCTGGCCATGGGTCCAACAAACAGGTAGAGCCTAGATGCCTTCTTTGCACTCTAATAAGGAGAGATGCTGAGAAAATGAATTACAGCATGAAGAGCAGGAGGGACTCAAGACATGGGGAACTGCAAACAGGGGAAGTTGGCCCAAGAGATGGTGGGTAGCTACATTTTGGACACATGTGTCTCAAACTCACCCCAGAGGGAGGTTTTATATCTTTGAAAAGGTCTTTATTTATAGTGACCCACCCCTTGTCCTTTGGGACACACCCAAGATGACATCCCCTTATGGTCTGAGAAAGTGTGAAGGAGCTACCTCCTTTGATCTCCTGGTGGGGGCCCCTGCCTGTTCCTAGTCCAGGTTGCAGAAAACCTGCCACGTTACCTGTTATTCCCAGGTTATTTATCACCACCGCACACGGGAAGCACATAGCAAGTCTCTGGGCACTGGCCAGCAAGCTGTGGCAGATTGAGCCGTGCCCACATGGGTAAGCAGGGTCTCTGGGTTATTTGCTGTGTCACTTGCACTGAGGGTCCTTATTAGATCCTCTCCCAGATGTGTGACGTTTGGCCTAATCTGTGGCTGAGAACTCACTTATCCCATCATTATGAGTTAAAATAAAATTATTCCCTGATTAAGATATGGCCTTTTAAGGTATGAAAGTGGCACAGGGAGGTATTATTTTGGCCCTTGATTTCTTTGTGTAAATGATAGGAAAATCTCTGCTAATATTGTGCCCATCTGATGAATATGGATGGAAACTGTGGCATTTTTCATGTGGTGTGTTCTGAGTTGAGTTTCTTTGCTGGAGGGCTTCGTTTCTTTGGTCTTGTCCACTATAATGCTCGTGCTTGTGCCAAGACTAAAAATTTACTTATCTGTTGTTTAGAGTTATCACTCAGGCTATCAAAGAAGAGGAGAAAAACCTTCAAAAGTGGAAGGACAAAGCAATTATTATGCAAAAAAAAAAAAAAAGGGCAGCAAGGTCTGTCCATTGCTTTCCAAGGCCAGGGGAAATTAGCAAGGAAAACATGATGTCGTGGAAACAGAAGCCTCGAAACCTCTAGGTTATTCCTGACCCCGCTACTGTGTGACCTTGTGCAAGCCACTTTAAGCTTCTGATAGTTTACAAAATGGGGACATTTATAAAATTATACAAAAAGGACAGTATTTTCCAACTCCATTTCCCTCTCTGTGTGAGCAGGGTCTTCTGCAGGGTCTCTGGCACCCCTGTTGGGGGTTGCACAGTGGTTAGGGATATGGGCTTTGTGTTTAGTCTCTTGGCTGGGTGACCATGGGGATACAACTGCGCCTCTCTGAACCTCAGTTTCCCCTTAATATTATCATGATACTGACTCCTTGAGTTGTTTTGAGGTAAAATGTGATGATGTACCTAAGACGTTAAGTTAGTTCCTGGCACTCAACCCACACATTCAAAAATCGTAGCCATTGGCACAAATATAGTAAAAATTTGGGAACAGATTTTACATTGAAATGGAGGTTGTGGAAGGAAGAAATGAAGAACTCCCCTTGCTTCTTCAGACAGTTAGCTTCAGCTGAGAGCAGGCCTGCAGCTGAGGATCTTGTGGAATCAGTGGTGAGGGGCACGAGGGGTCTGCTGCACTCACTCCCTGTGCACAGCACAGCTCAAAGTACAGACCACCCACACCTGCCCCATTGCGCTGGGGGAGAAGCTGGCTCTTCTGAGGACTGGGGACTGTTGGGGTGAGTTCAGTGCTAAAGTTAGGCCAGCTGCCCCTGAAGACTCTGGAAGAAACTGCTTAGAAATACTAATCTCTAGTTTCTGGGCTTCAAGAGGTTTGGAAAGGGGCCTGAAAATCTTGTTTTTTAAAAAAGCTGTCCCAGGTGGTCCGATGTTTGGTCAGGACCTATAGCAGTGGTTCTCAGTCTTGGAGAATATTGCAAACAACTGAGGAGCATTAAAAACTCCGCCTTCCACGCTCAGCCTCGGGCTCAGACAATTAGCACGGGGATCGTGGGCCCAGGCTGTGGCAGTTTTAAAAGCCACCCCAGGTGAGTCCCACGTGCAGCCTCAGGTGAGAACCACTATATAAGGGAGTCAGCGTTCTCAAACGGGCTGCAGGACGCCAGGAGGAGTGGAGGTGCTTCTATGCTGACTGCGTAATGGGCTCCGAGCGGCTGGCCAGTACCTCGCCATGCTAGTCTGCAGGACGGGAGGAGGAAGACGGCTGGTAAGTGTGGGGGCCTGAGCTGGGCTTCAGGGTGTGGACTGGAGTCTGCAGGAGACAACTTACCTGAATAATAGGAGCTTTCTCAGGACCAGTCTGATGGGCGGGGTGGGTGGAAAGGATTTGGAGCAGGGGTTGGTCAGGTGAGGCCCACTGTAGGGACAAGAAGGGAGTGACCTAAACCTGGTGGCTGAGAATCGTGATCCTGGATCAGTCAGGGGAGGTGACAGACGCTGTGATTTAGGAGGCTTGGTACCAGCTTGTGTGAAGAGGACAAATGGGCCCATGACATGGAGTGTGTGTGGGAAGGGGGGAGTGGTGGAGTTCTCGCTGGCAGTTTGGGGAG